TCAATAAATGTCTACATTTCAAAACCAACTATTTAAAAGGAACAAATGACGTTTAGTAGAAAATAATTGTCATAGTCAAGAAATGGACACTTGAAGAAAAAGATGAAGTATCAGTGTCTATTACAAGTAACAAAGATTGTAAAGTATAATAGCAAATTATTATTCAATTTCCTGATGCCAGCAAACCAATAGACTTCAATTTGAAGATTCTTTAAATAATCAGTTCAAAGTGTATTATTTTATTTTTCAATAAAATATATAATTAATATATTTGCCTAGCCAATTACTAAATTATGTTTCACACAGCTAATTACAATTTAAAAAGTACACTAATTACAATTTAAAATTATATTATAATAATTACAATTTATTAAAAAATATACTAATTACAACTTAAAAAGTACACTGGTTATAATTTAAAATTACACTAAGGCCACTTAAAGTTTAACGTATCCCCCCTCGGCTGGCTGTCCCCAAAAATTAAACACCAATCACAACACAGGAAAAATCCTCAATAATCATGTGATTAAATTTGACCAATGAGATTTAAATAAATACTCGTGGCATATATGTGTTTGTTTAACTAATCAACTTTAAGAGGCCTAATTACAATTTAAAAATTACACTAATTATTACAATTTAAAAAGTACGTACGTACGTTAAAGTATTTCACACGGGTCTATATGAAAATCACGTGAATTTGGAATCACATGATTTTCATATAGACCCGAATTGTTACATAAGACCCGTACGACAACTGCCATTTATTTTTTCCGTAATCTTAACCGGTTTCACCCGACTGATACCTAAATTATCCGATATGGAAGTAGTAAAAAAAATCCGACCGACCGACCAATTTTTTAGATCCCATGTAATGCAAACGAAAATTAACTTTGCGCAGCCTTAGTGCAACAATGTCTCCATTATTAGGGTTTAGTGAGTAGTTTAATTAGTATAGAGTGTAGTGCTATATTCTTCAACTTACGTCATAATTTTCTTGCTAATTCATTTTTTTAACTATTATCGTCATGACGTAAATGTAAATTTTAGTTATTTGTAAGCATGGTAGTCATAACAGATAAACAGATAGTCCAAAGGAGTACAGTAACGATAATACAAGTCCAAAATATATACTTGTAATCTACCCTAATTTTAACACAATTTTAAATTTTGAGAATATTTAAAGTTTACTTGTATGCGTGTATACATATGCATACCAAAAATTAGTAAAAGTAGTTTCTAATTTTCTCTGTTATCTTTGGGGAGATATTTAGTAAAATAGTCAATACGGACTAGAGAAGCAGGTAGTGCTGATGAAAATTTGGTGAATACCAGTGAAATTGGGAAACTATAACCGTCAATGAAAACTCAAGTATAGTGAACTCAAAATCAGTTTTGTTTACAATTCTAGAACGGACGCATGAAGATTATACTAAATTTTTGGTATTACGAACGTGCAGTTAACATTGACCTGTATAAAAATTTTCTTTTTTAGGTTTAAATCTATTATAGGTGACACCTCCGGCAGGGTGATCGATCAGCTATTTGTAGATCCCTAAATACTCTCGAAATAGTGAAGATTCGTTACAGTGAAGAATTTTGAATTATGGAATTATTAAGCAAAAATAGCGTTCCTGATGATCGTCGGTGCTGTTCCTGATAGGATAGAGAAAAAAATCGATTTACATACCGTTCCTGATAGGGTTCTAAAAGGTCATCCAAAATACTATACTACTATAATGAAAAAAGTTAGGATTAGGGTTCGTTTTTAGAACCATATCAGGAACGACTATAAGTCGTCAGTGTAATATATTTCCTAATACTGTAATACGCAAAGTTATGTCATCATTAATGTAAAAATCTATAAAAGACGGTGAAAAAGTGAAATGATTTTTCACAAATCAAACTATTATATTCACTTCTCTTGTTTCTCATATTCTAAAATGAATTACTACTTGGCTGCAATTTTTGCGCTTGTTGGCTACATTTTGTACAAATATTATATTTATCCTTTTTATTTGTCTCCATTACGTAAAATTCCTGGTCTACCAGCCGAAAGTTACATTTTTGGCAATTATTCTTTTTTTTTAAGTAGTAAGCAAGGTGAAACTTCTGTTAACTTAGAAAAACAATATGGTAAAATTGTTCGGTTTCATATCTTATTGAACAAACCTTATCTATTGATTTTCGATCAAAAACTTGTCCAACAAATATTGATAAATCGTTCATACGATTTTCCAAAATTCTTCATAAACAAAAATCTTACGAGAGATCTTATTGGGGATGGTATTTCGTCTGCTAAAGGAGATGTTCATAAACGACAGAGAAAAATGATGAGTCCTTCATTTTCCTTTGCCAATGTCAAGGTTTTTTTTGAATTTTTTTTTTACATTCATCAATATTACTATCGTTAAAAAAAACCCTTATATTTTGTTATTTCTTTGTTTTTAATTCTAAGGAAATGCTTCCAATATTGGTTCATGCTGCCTATAATTTAAGAGATATCTGGATAAAACAAATTGGTGATAAGAACGAGGAAATAATTACGATTACTGATATCATTTCAAATATAACGTTAGATATTATTGGTATTCTTGGTATGAATTAATCTGTATTCTTCCATGAGTACCTTAGATTTGGCCCATGACATTTCTAATCGTAATTTTAATCAATTTACTTATTAGGATTTAATTACGAATTCAATTCTACTACTACTGACTCTGAATTGGCTCGAGCATATCGTTCAGCACTTGTTTTTAATCCTTTACTCGTTTTTATTTCCGATCTTTTTCCAGTCATCAGAAAAATTCCTTATTTCAACCGAAATAAGGATTCTATTAAAACTATCCATAATATTTCCGAAAAACTAGTTACTGAGCAAAAAAATTCTACTGTTCGCGGAAAGGACTTCTTGTCTTTATTGATACAAGCAAATGAAAAATTGCCTGATGATGAAAAATTAACACATCATGAATTAGTTAGTCAGGTAAAAAAATTTTATTTAACTTATGAAACAATACTCAGTATAATTTTGAAGCAATATTCAGTATAATTTTTGAAACAATACTCAGTATAATTTTTATTTAAATTTTATAAATTATATAAACTTATTAAATTTCAGGTTATGACATTACTTTTGGCTGGGCATGAGACAACTAGTACTGCTTTAACTTGGTCATTATACTACCTCGCAAAAAATCCTGATGTTCAGGATAACCTTCGTAAAGAAATACTTGAAATATTTAGTGATCGTAATCATTTTCCAACGTTTGATGAAATTGATAGTTTGAAATATTTGGAATGTGTCTATAAAGAAATTTTAAGGATAATTCCACCTTGTATATTTCAATTTTTCTATATCTTTTAATTTGATCCTATGTTATTCTATTTATTTATCTCTATTTTATTTTTAAAGTGACTTTCCTTACACGTTATAATGTAAAGGATGAAATTATGAATGGTTATACTGTTCCAAAGGTATTTCCTAAAATAGTTCAATTTATTTGATGTATTTGATATTAACATTAATGTGTAATTTAAAATTTTCTTTTAGAGAACTCCATTGTTGATTCCTATCTACGCAATCCATCATGATCCCTCAATTTGGGGTGACGATGTTAAATCTTTTAATCCATCTCGGTGGCTTAATTCGGAAATAAAAGAAAGAGTAACAAATAGCAATTTCTTACCTTTTAGTGCAGGTCCAAGAAATTGTTTAGGAATGAAATTGGCTCATTTAGAAATTAAAACTGTTTTAGCAATAATTATTAGAAATTTGAAGTTTAGATTAGTTGAAGGTTTTACTTTTGAAACACTAACTACTGGTTTTTCTAAACCTCACCCTAGAATGGATTTGTTTGTTTCAAAAGTGGATTATTAAGCTTCTCTTAAAATAATGTTAAACAATGGTTATTTAAACTATATGGATTTTTTTTGTCTTTACACCAGTTTCATCAATGAAGTGATTTTATTGTAAAATATATTTTTTCGTTTAATTTGATAAGAAATCTTTAGCGAAATAAATTTACTTTTTAATATGCAGATTATTGTACTGTAGGGATGTATTATATAAATTACTTTGTTACGTTTCATGTAAATTACATTGTAACTTACGAAATTGTAATATAACTATACATTGAATAGTGCATTGTCACATGATAATTTTAGCGACATTACAAAAGTTTAGCCAGCACTAATAGATATCTATCATTGTGATCGGAATTGTAATTTTTATTTACAAGCGTTATAAAAATTTTTGCAAAAATTATTCACATGATAAAAATTACATGTAACTTTGATTTTCAGAAGATTACACAAAATTTCGTAAATAACGTAAAATTACGGTAATTTTCCATCCCTATTGTACTGTACATGTACAGTCGAACCACTTTAAATGCATAGCCGGGCTGCATATATTTTAGGGAGATCTGACTACATACACAGTTGTTAGGCAAAATCTAGAGTTTCGTGCTGACAGAACACGAAACTTTGTTCAGTCGTCAATTAAAAACTGGCGAAAGATGACGAGACTGACAAAATGTGAAGCTGACAAAGTGTGCAAACTGACGAAGGTTAGAAACGAAAATAAGTCTCATACTCTTCGCAAGCCTATATTAGGACAATTTGATTTGGCTGACAATAAAATTATGATATTGGGCAAAAATAAATGTGTGCTTTGGTTACTAGATGTATTGCCAAATTTCGGGGACGTCTAAAGCGGAGGCAAATCATGTGATCAACCACAAATCAATTATAGAATTTTGATGATCGCCGGCAAAGCAAACCAAAAAACCAAAAACCCGAAAAATACAAAAACGGCAGTCTAAACCTACCTCGGGTAGGTTAATCAAAAATGTCGGGAAGGTAATTTAACTTATAAATATTGTTATCTTTATAGAATTTAAAAGAATGAATATAAAAAACATTCATTTATTTTTAAAGATCTGCTGAAATGGGAGGCTCTATCATATATGTTTGATACTATTATCTGGAGTGGAATCAGATGTTAGTTACTTTTATATTGTTATTATAAATTTGCGTATTTTCATTTTTTGAAAATAACGATATCTAACAGGGGAAATTCACCTACTTATTTTTTTTAGGTTAGAGTGCAATTTTAGAAAAAAATTTGGGTTAGATATGAACGTCCAATTAGGGTTAGAGTTAGAATTTTTGGGTTCTGAACATTTTTACTTAGTACAACTGAGGTGTGTTAGCAAGTACGTTTTTGAAATATAGCACACCGGTGAATCATCCCTTGGTGCAAAATAGCAACTCTCTTATTTTTTAATAGATTAATTATTAGAGAACGGAAACAAATCTCAAGTAGTTGATTATTTTATAAAAATATAATGATTTAACTTCGTTCGATAAAACTGGAGAATATAATACTTTAAATAATTGTACGATTTAAAAAAAAAATTAGATGAGAGCAATTTTCCATTATGTTGAGCATTATGAATTTAAAAATATATTAAATTTATAAGAAATGGTAGAATTTTAATAGTAGTTTATGCTTTTAAATCTTTTATTGTGTAGATTACATGATGATTATAGAAAGACTTAAATTTGATTGGCTTTGAATCAATTTAATTTTATATCATTTATACTTTTTTAAACAAATAGAACTAAATAAATATATAGAAAATTTATTATGGTTGTGGTATTTCGTTGTTAAAAATAAAATTCCTTTATGTTTTAGAGTTAGCATAATAATGACTTCTTAAAAACAGATAGAATTAGGTTATTATCATATTACCATTCTAAATGTAAAATAAAAATAAAAATATTTAAGCAGTCAATTATATGAAATCTTTCTATGAAGGTGAAATCCGCTTTTGCATAATAAAAACATAGTTAAAACGCTGATTTCACATTAGCATGATTTATGTAGCGAATTTTACCTAAAATGGTTAAAAGAATATTGTGATGTTGACAATAACGATAAAAATCCAATATTTTTATAATGCTATGAAATATTAAATCATTCTTTTGGTGATTATACCGTTATTTTAATTATTAAAACCAGTCGATGAAGCCACCTATAAAGTCTTGTTCCAATTTTTGATATAATTATATTACTTCGTTTTAAAAAGTAAATTTTGGGAAGTATTGGTGGTTTGTGTCTATTATAAATTTTTTAATTTAAAGTATTTATAAAATCTTTAGAAAAATAGTAAGAATATATCTGACTTTAGATATAAATTTAATAATTAATACTAAAACAAATTTAAAAAAACTAATATTACCGTACATTAAAAAAAAAAAACCTCATTCCCAAAAAATGTCCAGCCCGAGAGCCAGTAAAGAAAAAAAAGCCAGAATTTCTGTTAACAACGACATGAAGCATCTAAAAATAATATACGTTTTCCAGCAAAGAAGATAATTGCACCCAAAAACCCTGCAGATTTAAGCCCAGAAAAATCCCCAGAAGTATGACCAAGTATATAATGTGTTCCTATAAGATGAGTTGTCGCAATCAAGTAACCAATCATCCATCTAAATTCATCTCTTGATGGACCTTTTACAAATGGTAAACATATCAAAAAAAGGAATGGAAGACCTGAAAAAACTACCAAACGATTAACTGCATATTGCGTATGTTCTAATTTAATGAACAATGCTACCAGACCGACCCATCCAGTAATAGATAGTAAAATTGATAATGGAACTCCACAATTCATGTAAAAATCGTCACGATCAAACACATTTCTTTGTTTAGATATCACGGCATCAATAATCAATTTGAATGCCCATGGAGAAAGTTGCCCAACAGCTGAAACTATTAAGACCCATTCTTCACGACAACGTATACATGTATAAATGGTTGGCCCAATAGTCATAAGAAATGAGATAAATGCAAATTTTTTGGACTGTGATTTATAAGTCTCTTGACGCCATAGCCATGGAGCGAACAGTGGTAAATTACCAAATACAATAAACAAATTTGATACTAATGACAAAGACCAGCAAATAAATCCAAATACACCATACGGCAATGCATAACAAGATTCTATTTTATCCGAAAAATCTAATCAAATGTTATGAGACTTCAAGATTACTGGTCACAATCATAATAACCATAATAGCTATTTGAACTCACCAGACATGTTTTGACTAATAGTTTTTTTTCAATGTTTTGAAAGGTAGAGGTACTGAATAATCAAGACAAACAAAATTGTAAAAATGTAAAAGAATGCATAATATATCTCGGTGCATAGTAGTACTGTAGTATTGCGGACAAATATTTGGCAATTACCTTATTTGGAAGATGCATAAAGCGAAATATGTATAATCTAAGGTTGGTGTTTATTTGAATTTTAAGACTAGAAAAGATATTATAGGTAAAATTACACTCTCAATATTTTTTATTAGTACCTCAAGACATGTTTAGACTCCAGTTTCTTTGCTTTTACGGCTTTTTTACTTTGTTTTTCTTTTGTTTCATAAAATTTACGGGTTATTCAATCAATGCAGGTCTCTAAATAAGGAAGGTTAATAATGAGTTGGTAACATTGGAACGCATTACGCAGTGCACTACAGGATTTGTTTACCAAATTCATGATACATAATAAACTATTTCGCCGATAGTACATTTACTCGACATCACAGAGCGTGACTATTTACTAATAATATATTTCTAAAGTTCTGCATTTAATAAAATGCAAATTGTCACCTTCAGTGATGTCGAGTAAATTGCCTGTCGAGAAAATAGATATGAGCGTATACTATTTAGGGTTTAGAACTTGGTAGAATCGCAAAGGTAAATTTGGGTTTGCTGAAATTTTGACACGCATATTTCTCAGAACCAAAGTATCTTAATTTTATTTATATACATTAACTCTGGATATAACGAATAACGAATCGCACACACTAACAATAATGTTTATTAGTATCTTTATCAAATATGGAGACTCTAAATTTTGATTCAACATATAAATTTACGTGCTTAGAATTACTAGAACCTTTATTCGTGTTTGTACTATAATTGTGACCCAAAACCCGAAACCTTTCCGAAACCTTCAAATCAGAATGTTAAAAATTAATACTCATTTGCTATAAAGTAACCAAAAAACTCTTGGAATGCAATCTAATTATCATATACTTTAAGTTTTAAAGTTTAAATCTAAATTTCTAAGCTTTTCAGTATAGTGTTCAAGTTTCGAGTTTCGGGTTTCGGGTCACAACTATAGTTTGAACGTATTTATTATTCTAGTACTATAAATATTAAATAAAATTTCAATATCAGATGAAAAAATATTGAATATTTTTAGTTGTTTAAAGATCTTATATTTATAGCACCTTTAGAAACTACTATTAATTGTTTTCAAATTAATTGTTCTAGAGTTTTCGAAATTAGTTATTTGGTAATTAAATTTTAACACATTCATTTTATACTGGTATCAACCTCTATGTTTATGTTAAAATTTAAAGTTAAGGCGCAGTCATAACTATGTAAAATAGGGGTTCTGAACATTTTTTAACTTGTACACTTAACTCCAATTTCCTAGTCAGTTTTTGAGATATGGATCTCGGTGTTGACAACAACGCCAGAGCGTAGAATCGATTTTCCGAACACGTGAATTTTCGAGCCAAAATTAGCAAATGAGAAGTCATGATCAGGTATAGCAACCGTCTTTTTGAAGAAATCGAATTAACCACCTACTGTGCTCTAAGTAAAAATTTCCTTGCGTGATTTTACTATTAGGTGTAAATCTAAAATGAACCTAAACCTTAACGTAAACAAATTTCTAAGTTATCACGTGTTCGGAAAATCCTGTCAATTTAACACCTTCGGGATATATTATAAATGTTCTTAAAACAATATATTTTTAGATACTTGTACAATTATACATTGACTATTTAACATTGGTTAAGTGAAACTAAGCTATATTTATTTATGCCAAAATTCAAACGATTAATTACATTTAATATAGATAAGTTATAACGAAAAAAATTATTTATACAAAAAAAATTTTATTTATACAAAATAAAATAAAATTACAAATTTAAATAACCATAGTTCTATCTATATTTTTCATGAATTAATACTCATTTCTTCATCAGAAATAGAATATTGTCTCTTTCTCATCTTATTTATATACTTAACAGTATGCCAAATCCACCTTAATAAATTTACTGCTACTACTGCTGATGATGTTATGAGTGTAAGAAATGGTATGATAGAATAAACTATCGTATTTTGTTTGTATAATATCTACAAATAAAATAAAATAAAATAAAATAAAATTAGGTAAATTAAATAGTTTTTTAACTCAAAACAAAAGCATCGATTCATTATTAGATTACCTGGACGACAAATTGACCCAGATCTTGCATAAATACACCAATAATACTCATCCACCACAACCATGTCTTAGCTTTATCACTATAAGTAACCTTAAAAAGATTTGAGAGTATTAATTTTAATGTTTTAAAGATACTCTTTCTTTCGTTCTCGTCATCAACCCATGTCCATTCTCCTTCCATTTCTTCCATTTTCTTCTTTTTAGAAGTAGAATTTAGATGGGTATTGGACGTAAACAGATGAGAGTTGAGTAAACGAAAAAATTCAGAATTAATGCAAGAAAATAGGACAGTTAAAAGAGTTAGAAAAGTGCGACGACGAAAGTAATCGTGAAAAAGAGGGTTTTCAGAAATTTCGTGGATTAAAAATAAAACAGCGAAGGTAGTGTATATAGATAAGGGAACGAAAAATAGAAGAATACTATTTATCAAAATTAAAAATATCAAGATATTTATGTAAGAGGTTAGTAAAAATTTGATTATAATCAATTTGCATGAATCTAATTAATTTTGACAACTTTGACAAACCTTGGAGAAAATAGCCAATCGACATCACGTCCATGAAACCAAAGAAATAGCACATCTAATATAAAGTCCGTTAAAATTAACATTAATTTTAAAACTATATACTTGCTTCCCTTTTAAATTCAAAAAAATATTAAAATTATTATCAAAGATAAAAGATAAACAAACAAGAGATTGATGAGATTGATTAAAAAAAGGATTTACATCACTCTGTTTTCTAGTCACAAAATACCAAATTATTATTATAGTAACAACTCCTGCAAGCAATCCGAGTAGTAAGGAAGTAAATTCTTGTATTACATTTGCTTTTGGATCGAGAAAGGAGTTAGAAAATTTCTTTTCAAATAAGCCCATGAAAATTTTTGCAAGTACTCACAACTCCATTGAGCACCAAACTCTTTATCAATTCCTGATGTCAAATTCATCATTCCTATTGGAGAAATATCACGATTCTTGATCAAAGTATCTAAATCATTTATTACTCTTGCACTTCTAATTTCACTATTTCTTCCTGTTCCAATTATAATAGGTATTGTCAAACTATCACGAGTTGAATTAATCGAGCTAGATTTAAAATTAGAAGAAATTGATAGTCGAGATAAAGAAACAGGGATAATTTGTGCAAGTTGAGATATAAATTGAGAAAGAAATTGGGAATGATTTGTAGTTGAGGTATTTAAAAAATCGTTTGAAAGTTTTACGAGAGCTGTTGCAGGACCTAAAAATATATATATATATATAATCAACAATGATAATATGTTTGGAATGGTTAAATTATTGATACTAACTTGAATATGAATCTGAATAATCACCTAAACAAGCAAAAATAAAATTTTAAATAACCTATTAGAATTCAATCAAATTGATTATGATAAATAACCAACTTATTAATAGAAAACACTCACGAGTCGAAATAGTCCAAAAACCGTCTACAACGCCGACGAGCGCCATATCTGTCGCTGTACTTCTTGCAAACCCATCATCTATTTTAATAAAATATACTTCATTGGGCTGATTAAATGTACTCTGTAATATTGTGACAGTAACCACAGTATTAGAAGAATCTAAAGTACAAAATTTTGATGTGCCTGAAAATGTTTGCCTCAACAAAGCACCGCCGTTTGAAATGTTGGTTGAAGAAAGAAATTGAAATATCGAAATATTTCCAGTTGATAATATAATAGGTTTAGAAAATGTAATGGACAAGGGAGACGCAGCTAGCGGAATTATGGTAGTGTTCATTGGTAAAGAAGTTGATGCTATATTTGGGTTTATTAGAGGATTATCTTCGAATTCAAAAAAAAAAAAGAATTCATAGTTAATAAATAAAATATATATATATATATTGAGAGGACTAATAGTTATTACCTGGATTATAAATTTTAATAACATCGGTAGTTACTACGTTCCATGTTGAACCACTACCACCATCTCCCAAGACCAAAATCACAGTATTATTTCTAAACACACCTACACCACCTTCGTTTCCATTTGATCCACCATTAATCACAATATTATTAAAATTTAAATTTGCAGAAGTCAAATCCCAATTTCCTTTTAAATTTCCTTTAATATCAAAAATATTTCCAATAATTTCACTATTATTTAAATAAATTCGTTGTAAATATCCACCAAAATATAATGGATCAAATAATATCGTTTTTATAGAATTGGATGAGATGTTGCCAATTGGAATTGAAATTGTTTCCGTAATGAGACCTGTTAATAGAAATGAAACCTGTATTCTGGAGATAGAATTACTCTGAGTGGCTGATAGTAAACATTTGAACGCAGTCCCTTCAAATGATAATTCACCGCATTGCATAATTTCTAATGATGTTAATGAGGTCGTAGTATTAAATATAATTAATGGGGCTATGAAATTGTTTGTTTCCGATATTAGAAAAGTACAATAAGCGAATAATGCAGATGTTGTAGAAGAAGTATTATATCGAGCAATGAAAGCAATCGCAAAATGGCCATAAAAGGTAGGAAAAGTAGTATAATTTTGAAGTCGAAGGTTTAGGTTGCCTGGTATTTGAAATATTCCACTTGCAGACATTGTGAATGTTGGTGGTGTAGTAGGATCTGTTATCGCAGTGTTTAGTTTTCTGAATTTCAAGTTTAGTGTTATTTAAATTTAATATATCATATATTAATTTAAGATTGAGTATTAAAAAAACTCACTGTGAAGTAAACTTGACATAAGTAATTGAATTGTTACTATCAAGTTTAAATGTCCACAAAAAATCGCCATTATTGTTTATAACCGTTTTCGTTTTTGCAGGCAAATTTGACATGAATGGAGCACTTAGCGGTGGAAAATTACTAATTATTATATAAAATTGAAAAATTTTTAAGAATTCGTAATTTCATAGCAAAGGTCTAATTTAAAAACTACTGACTTTTGAACTACTTTTCCATCCTGATTAATTATCATGGCAGCATATTGTACCAATACATTTCCGGTACTGACACCTGGAGTTGTAGAATTTAAATATAGCACCAAACTAAATTTTCCAGCTAACGGATGAATCTCAATTTTATCCACCGGACAAAAATTAATAGGATTAAATATAAAGTCTACGTCGTTTGACACCAAAATTCCATTAGGTAGGATATATCTCATTATAACTCTTGATTCGGCGCATTGTCTGTTTGGAAGGCGTTGTTGTAGACGAATTACAGCGGTTCCATCTGCTGTAGTATCAAATTCGACAGGGAAAAGATTGGACTCTGCATATGTTAAAGTTTTTAAAGAGAGTGTAAGTTGTGGAAAAAGTAGCACGCACGTGATTATATGAAGAAGAATGTTTATTATGATCATTTGTTTGTTAATTAAATAGTAACATTGTAACGGTAAATAATTACATGCGTATGTGTATAAAAGGTTTTGCTATAACTTTATTTGGTGAAAATACTTATTATGGGGAATGGTAAGTTTACTATTTGAACTTGTAAACAAATAAAACAAACGAAAGTTTTCAAGATCTTATAATTTATGTCGGTTAATAATAGATTTGAATTTCTCCATTGTTAAAATACGAATATCTTGTTTATTGTCAAGTTTGAATTTGTGGCTTTGCTATTTCAAATACATATATGTAAATTTTTTTTTTAGCCACTTTTGTGTTGCAAGCTTTATAAAGGTTATTACACCGCCACTGAAAAATTTGACGATAGCCGAAGATGGATAAAATTTTTAGGCAAAGCCATGTAAATAAGATTTATTATTTCTCATGAATTTGACTGCGAATAGCAAGAAATTTGTAACTAAAATTTCCACCCTGTATCCCTATATATAAAAAGACATATGCATTAAATATGACACTTTCTACAATAATTCTAACATTGTAAATATCGGCACGTTTCGACATGTTAGTGTGGCATTTACTAATTTCCCCACACTTTCCATTCTAGCCAATCAGCATCAATCACGGGACAAGATCTTGTATAACGTGAAAATTAACAACGAAAAATCACATTAATCTCGAAATTTTACCTAAGAAATCATCTTTCACGTACTTGCAAAAAAAATTTCTTGCAATAACTTCGTCCACTAAACCCTAACCGAAATGCCACATTTAAAAGACGGTGACATGTAAATAATCTCAACCAATAGAAAGTGTGGGGAGAAATTAGTAAATGCTTAGTGCTGAAGTGTGTTTGGTCTGTGCGAAATCATATATATTTCAAATTAACATAACATAAATTGTAATTTATCGTTATGTATGGATCATGCCGAAATCAATAATAATACCTTAACCGAATCGGCCAAAAAACCATTCGACAGATTTTTATTTATAGCTATTATTACTGCTATTTTCATAATTTCTGGAACACCTGATAAAAATTGACCGAATGGTACTCCAGCCGATTCGATTAAGT